ACGATATTTTTTGGAGCAGTAAATAAGAATTCGTATAATAAGCGAAAGATTTCCGTCTTGTCACCTCTCACGTGACATATAACCGCAGTGACAATGTACTATTGTCACGTGAGAGGTGCCTTACGACTTATATAAGGGTTAAATATATATGAAGCATGAGTAACTTTCCTTTTATGTGATTATTTTGACCAATTGTTTAGAACGCAACGAGCATCGTGAAAAATATTTCTTGAAAAATAATTATTAAAATTGTAATTATTTCATTGTCACAATTTTTTTATTTCACTGTCCAGCTACATTGACGCGTGTCTATAAAGTATATTTTATAAACAACTGTTTTCATCATCGTGCCTATGTTAGTCATAGTCACACACGTGTATCTATTGCATAGTACCATAGCGATACCAATAGTTCATGATCTCGCGAGCCTTTTTCCTCAGACTTTAGCATCGGTCACGAATCTCGAACGCACGACTTATCTCCTCACTCGCGATCCTCATCCAGCCTGACCCCCGCAAGCTGAAACTACGAGTTGGAAGAGAACGAGCCGAAGGTGTAAGTGGCACTCTCGTCGGGCCAATGCCGGCTCGTAGTTCGCGTAGACATTCGTAACAATTAGCAGGAAAAATCTCGCGACGCTGACGCGTTACGACAGCGAGTCGGGCGAGGAACGACGAGGGAGGGCCATTCTATTATACTTCTAGCTCTCCGCTAGCGCAGCGCGGGTTCTTCGGGAAGGGTCGAGAGATTTAATTAAGGCAGAGCGACGGACAGAAAGACGAGTCGCTACGTCGTGTAAACTCGAGCTCGTCCGTCGTCCCGGTGTTCCTGTCGTAGCCTCGGGAACGAGCCAAGTAGTAGCTCCTCCTTCTTGCCATTCTAGAAGATCGCTCGAAAACTCGTGAGAACGCTACACACGTCTACGGCGTAGATTCTGTTCGGCCGAGCGTGTGCGTCAAAGTTCGTCAGGCCACCCTGATTCCGGGGAACTGAACTTTCGTCCGACAGCCCTGTTTCTCTCTTCTCCTACATTAGAGCCTCCTGCGGGAAGCCATTTCGTCTGACTGGCTCCACCTGCACGCCGATCGCGTGGAAATATCAGCCCTGTTCTCGTTTTTCCAAGATTTCATTTCCGACCCTGTTTTCTACGTGTCTTGGCAATTTCGAGTGGGTTCGAGTAGTCGTGAATTATTTCGTTAAGCGAGGATTATCTCTGACGCCGAAATGGCACTGTTGATGTCACCGATGCTCAGGATCCTCTATAGCTTGCAGCTGTAGGTATTTAACAAACTGTGCCAAGTAATAAAGTGGGAAAATTGTGGATTAAAATTAAATTTCAATTTTAGTCCATTAAATACCACTCTATATACCGTGTTCATTTACTACTAATATCAAGTAGCAATACCTAGCGACGAAAGAGCTCGTTCCAAATTGGCATCGTATAGCATTCGTTTTCCCATAAATATCTCGAATTACAGTTTCGAAAGTGGGAACACTGGTATAATAGTTTTCTAGATTCGACTAATTGTACAATTTGTATCATTCGAACCAATCGTACCTTGGCATGTCTCTAAATGATTAATTCCTCTCGAGGTTTAAACAGCACGATTTAATTCGTGCTCAATCCATCACCGATGTATATGTACACCAAGACTCGGGGATTCCAATGAGACAATGCGATACGGGAAGTAGAATACCTTGGAACAAAAGTTCCCTGAACCCCAGAATATTGAGTTCATTGTAGGACATAAACTTGGAAAGTTATGCCAGTGCGGAGTTACTCGTGAACATACCAGAAACCCAAATCAGAGTTCCAATTTAATATATGTCGAGGCGTTAGGTCTACAGGATGCACCAGATGATACAGAATACGCGTCTAAAATTCTACCGTGACCTGAATCTTCCAATTCTCTCCTTCGTTAACGCTATCAACGTTAGGCTGCTATCGAGGTAGACGCATTTCCTGTCAAACTGACGTTCTGACGAATCTAAGAAGAAAATGGAGAGTGGGAAATAGCAGAAGACCCGAACGAAAGGTCTTCGATTCGTCGGAAAGGGTTCCACGTTCCACGAATTCGAGGATTTCACGAATTTTGCACAAGCAAGGTGTCACAATTTCTGCCAACGATCCTCGCCTTCATCCACTCGTGTCGCCAAGTCACGGGCCGGCACTCCCGAATCCGAAACAGCTCGCAGCATCATCTGCTCCGCGGTCGTGGTTTCAGCGTCAATAATTCGCAAAGGCTGCGGGGCAGCCTCTAACCGACTGATTTCACGCATCTGGCGTTTGGTGGTTTGGTCTGGCCTGGTCCGTGCTTGCACGCCAACAGCAACACCGAAAGACGGGGACACGGACGTGTGAGAGAGCGTAGGACACACTTACAGCGAGCAAGACGATGGAACGCGAGACGGAGAGGCAAATAGAAGAAGAAAGAGCGAAATAGAGAGCGAGGGAGAGAGAAAGAGAGAGGAGAGCATGGCCAGTCCCTGCCTCGCCGCCGTGGTGGTCCCGTGATCAATATTCCTTACCCCCTTTGCCTTGGCTTACCCCTCCGGCGCGGTACGGGTGCCCCTTACCTCGTGAAAACCCTCCTTCTACTACCCACACCCACATCCTCCCACCTCCCTTCAGGGAGAACCCGGGAGAAACCCCTGAAACCCCTCTCGCACCCTCGTCTTAATTAGGAGTCTGAATCTGCGGCGGACACGCGTATAAGGGTAGGCTGCTGGAGATCGGGAGAGGGTGGACGGGTGTGGGTGCGAGTGGGTGAGCGGGTGCACAGCTCTCGGGCAAAGCCAGACGAACGTCGTGTCCGAAACATTATTCCCAACTTTCCTACGATCGCCACGGACGCTGGACGACCCTTTTTATTATTCCCTGAAAATAAACACATTCGCGCTTCCTCGCCCTGTTGCGACCGGTTTCCGTCTCTGCCTCCAGCCTGTCTCGAGTCTGTCCCTCGTTCTGCAAGAAAGAACTTCGCCTTGCTCTCGCGCCGTCGAGTAATTAGCAATTAGCCGCTGTTCCACCGGTCTAGATCGGAATACGACGACGGATGCGTGGAGTTTGATACGAAATTCGAACTGTGACGCGAACTGCGATATACTCGTTTCTCGTTCCTCATTTCTGACAGTTTTCCGCTTTTACCCGCGTATAATTCGCCGGGTCAGACGCTGCCGCAAGTCGCGACGGGTCACTATAGCTAACGAAGCGCATTGAAAAGTTCTCGCCAATTTGCGCCCGACTAATTTCTTCCTGCTCCATTCCGCGTTTCCAAAGTCTCGTTCCATGGTTTGCCTCGACTAGCGTGCGTCTACGACCGTCTCCGCGATTGCTGTCTATTATTTTTCCTACGAAGGAGTTGACGGAAGTCCGTGATCGATTAATCCGTGATCGAAGGCGTGAAAATCGCTGGACATTGGACCGGGTCGTCTCGGTCGATTCGACGAGGGTGCGTCACGGGGCGACGTGTTCGATAATGTCAAAATAATTAATTGCCGCTGGAGGGTAGCGGAGTTTTGAAGAAACGCGTTACACGTCGCTGCCGCGCCGATATCGCTCGAATCTCTCGTTCGTGAACGTATTTACATGCGTGGTACATACAGCCGAGGTACATAGAGGGTAGTGGCGGTGAGGCTGAGCCGAGAGGATATTGGGGTTAGGCCATTCATTAGATTACGGGAATTCGGTGGTACCCGTTGAGGGGTAGAAGAGAGGAGAAGATCGGGGGTGAAGATGCGGGACTGGGTGCACGGTCGTGGACTAACCTGCGTGCATTAGCTGCCGTCACGAGGCGCAGTATTGAGGAGAGGGTTGAAAATGCGAGCAAGGTATATTCGCATTTTCTACGAATTTCACAGACTTTTGCTGCGGCTGAGAATATTGGAAATGTGAAATAACTAATTAATACTGAACTCACTAGGGGTGAGAAAATGAACGGTGAATAAGGAAATGAAAGAGGAAGAATGAAATTTGAGAAAATTTTAAGGAACAGTGTTAAGTAATTCGAATGATCACGTAGGAATAAGAAATTTTTAGTGAAAGGTTAAAGATGTAACAAATGATCGTATTTGAAGAACATTTTTCTAAATTAATTTGAGAAACTTCAAAATTGACAGACATCGTATAGTAAAATTTATTAATCATTTTGATGGGTGTGATCTAATGATAATACTGTCCAATAAATTTTAATTTTTCCAAATCTTAAACTTGCTGAGTATCTCAGTGATCCTTGACCCTTGACCCTTGGCCACCCCCTTCGCATCACCACCCAGGCCCAGTGGGGAAGATCCGTGCTATCCAAAGAGAATCCTATTCTTCCTATTACTTATTCATGTATTGCGAAATTTATTATTAATAATTTTCATTTGTTATTAGCAATAAATTTGGTAATTTACACGCGTTTAGAAAGTTAAAATTTGTTGGACAGAGAGGTATATCTGGGACAGTAGATAACAAAGACTCGAAGTCTCGAAGAAGGCAGTCGAAGACTCCTTTGTTCAAATATTTACTACGGAAGCATTAATCTACCTTAGCACGTGTCGTTCTCGAAGGATCCACTAGCCGATTAGTTACAGTCGAACGGTCGTGCGAAATACACGCACGGTCTCCATTCTCTCTCGCGGAAAATAAACATAACCGTCCTCGACGCCTAAACCGCGCGTGTTCAGTGAGGTTTCGGACTCGACCGAGTCGACACGGAAAGTGCAAAGTGTTAGAAGATTCATTCTCGTCTTAGAAATTAGGTAGGAATTTATTTTTCAACAACTCCATATCAAAAAGTCCTAATACGGTTTCTGTATGGTTTCTTCCTCCGAGAAGCCTACAGAATACTCAATTTGTGTAGCAAATTCGTGCCAGATAAAGAATCTTCTGTAAAATTGCAAGAATACGAGTAGAATTATTTTTAATGTTCTATGAAACAGTGTTACTTGAAAAATAAAACGATTATTTCTTTTCTGTTACAGTGTCGGCCCTCCCGAGGCGGGACTATCCCCGCCAAATCATGAACAAGGTAAGTCAAGGTACTTCTATCCTCGAATTGATAACACGGTTACGCGAATCGATCGATAGTATAGAATAAAACGTGCGATAATTGAAATTCGCGTTTATACTTGGTGTCGAACAAGTTGCTAGCATGTTCGATGATTTGTATTGGCCGTCAGCGAACACGGCGAGTCAGTTACCAGGGAAAATCGACCCAACACCTTTAATCGGTTTTCATGCAGCATACGTCGGGCATTACGTGTTCGTATTTTCGACGGCTATTATTTTAATGGTCTATATCGGGCAAGCAACAACTCCGACACGAGTAAACTTCATTGAGAGACTCACGGAATCACGCGTTGTTCACAACGCAAATTTTCTTTCCCGAAACATCGATATATCAAACTCGAAATGACAAATTTGCAGTTTCTTAACTTCATGAGGATCGAATTCTTTCATAAAAATCGGCAGAGATTCCCAAATTCTGTCATTATCGTTTCAGTGAGCGTTTCGATATCGCGAATTCCGCGAATTCTCCATATGCTGGTTAACGATAGTTACGAGAAAGCTAGGATAGTCATCGAATTACAGTCAAGATCAATTAAAAAGAAAATAATTCTCGCGTTTAAAAACCACTGTAATTTATCAGAAAACAGTGGTCTAAAGATACACCCTTGCACCCCCCCGCGCAGATCGGCGCTGGTTGCGCGCCATAACGCGAGCGCAGCACAAACAGGAGATTAACCGAGAACTTTACGAGTGCATCGTTTCCGAAGTTTCCACGGGATAACTAAAATCAGAGGGAGAAGTTTTTAACTCGGTTGCACGCTTAGAAGTCGCGGCGGTAACGGTGTGTAACCCGGGCGGGGGTGGTTCTACGAAGTCTTTCGCGCCCTCTGTGCGCGTGTACGCGCGTATCTAGCCGGAATGTATATGTATAACCCGAGCCTCATTTGTAGGCCCTTTATGCGCCGTCTGCCTTTCCTCATTATGCATTGCACATGAGAAAACTTGCTCGGAATCTCTCCCCGTCTCTGTCTCCTCCTACGCTGTCTGCCTCACTTTCTTCCCGCTCCCGTTCGACGAGGTGGGGTGTTGATCCCTTCGTCCCCTGCCCCCGCTTCTTCCACCGCTTCTCTCTGTGTGCCTCGACTGGTAGCTCTGCTTCTTTATAAACTTTTAATGACGGCAAAGCCTAATCGAGAGAACGAGCGAGCATAGCCGGCCTCGCCTCGCGAAAGCTATCCAAGAAAATCAACGTTGAATCTCGATTTTCGATACTGCCTGGCGGACGCCTTGGAAAAGCTCAGTCCACGCTAATGGCGGCGACTGGTCGTTAATTGTCATCGATTATCTCGTTCTCGAGGAATATGCTCCGGGACGTGCTGGATAGTTGCTACATCGTTGAGGGATCGGATGTCTGCGGCGAGGCAGACTTATGGCGTACAATACTACTGAGAAATTATTAAACCGGAAACAATAGATAGATAATTATATAATTACGTTTACCTATATATTTTTATCGCGCGATTATGTATATTTAGCTGCGTTTATATCGCGAATATTTTGGAAGCTTCGAAATCGGTATTTAATTTGCCTGGTAGAGTCTAGAGGAATTCGAGAACGGTGAGAAAACGCGATGGTAATTCTATTTGCGACACGTAGGATAAATTCGGTATACGCGAAGGTATCTGCACGATAACTCGCGATGGGTAAGATACCGTTTCCCGATTCCGTTTCCCGTGGAAAAGTGCACCGAGGCATTGAACAAATCGCTCAACGTTTACCTCCTGCTGGCCGTTCGTTCGAATTAAACTTCTGCTTGGAATTTCGTTCTCCAGCCGCTTCGAAGGCATGCGTATTCGCGATCTATAGAGTGCAGTTTGTACCTGCGAACTGCTTTGCCGAAGTTCGGTACACAAACCTTAGCGCGAAGGCGGTTAGTTGTTTGCTATACTGCAATAGCCTCTCGTTACCCACGGACTGAAATTAACATGTCCTGAAACAGGGGTGGTTTGAGGTTCGTACACCGTTGTTACCACTACCGAACGATCAACTTCGTTCAGCTCGTGACACTTTATCCGCGTAATGAAAGTCAAAGAAAGAAATTTTTAAAGGAATTTTAAGGAAAAGGATTCTGATAAGAAGGATTAGGATAAGACAAGGTGATGCGAGCTTTTATCCGAATTCCGCTGGATGATAATAAACGAAGGCAGCCCGAAAGGCAGAGTTAAGGATATTGCAAGGAAAGTGTTCCGATTAGCAGAGTTTTATTTCGTGCCGTACCATATATTAGCTAACTGGACTGGACATTAGCTATACGACTGGCTACAGTCCTTTCTTACCCCACGGCAAATGGGGGACAACGGAGAGGTTAAAACCTTCGACTCCTAAAGTACGATTAAACTAACCCTTAGTTATTTCTTCCGTACACGTCGCTAGGTACATTCTGCCTCGCTGCTATATACGCGCTTCCTGATCATTAGTTACGACTTCCTTGGGATCTCCGGGAAAGAATTCAAAACGCGCAAGCTTATCCTTCTATTCGTAACGGGGACGTTAAACAACCCCCTTCCGTTATTAAACAATAAAGAAGCTACCCGACACCTGACGCAATTAAATTAAAATCGCGATTAATTCGAATTTAATCTCTCGAGTATCTAGGACCTTAAACAACCCCCATCGATGACTAGGAAATAAACAATCTACTAAAAATCCCGCGTAAAATTTGTAATTGCGAATAATATCGCTGTCATATCAGATAAATAAATAAAAGAAAAATTGTTAGTTTTCGCATGGCCGCGCGTAAAGCAGCCATGTTCCCTCTTCCATGAAGGCTCGAAGGAATTCCGGGTGGTTAAAGTGTTCGCGGCGTCATTTAGCGGCGGCACTCTTTCATAAAGGACCTTAATAAAAATCCCAATCTAAACAAGCTTAATTTACGTCCGCCACATAATTACCTACCCCTGAGGCGAGACCCCCCTCGGTTCTCGCTCAGCCTTTTTTCTCCTCTGGCGTCGGCAAACCACTTCTGGTGCACCGGGAGAGCGGAAAAGGTGCGAGAAAGAGAGAGACAGGGAGAGAAAGAGAGAGTGTGATGGAGTTCCTGGGTCGGGCGAGTCCGGAGGCGGCGACGAAGGAGGCGCGTGGAGGGCTCTCTGAAAAATCTAAGAGGCTTAAAGCATTAAAAGGGTTATATAACATTCATTAGCAACGGGTCAGCCTTTGTGGAAATTTCCCTTGGAAGCTGCACCGGCCGGACACCGCCTTCTCGGCCATTTCTCCTCGCCGCGTTGCAATTTCGCCCCGTCGTCGTGGACGTCTCGTCTCTTTCTCCGCTCCTCGGTCGGCATCCACACCCACCCCGTCTCTAGAGGGGGTGCAGGATGGTCACGTGAGCGGAGTATCGTGCGGCGAAAGGGGCGGCAGGATAGAAAGTGGCGGAGAAAGGAGAGGAGGGTCCGCCTCTGATGAAGATGTCGCACACGCCGGGGACCCCGGCGAGATTACTCGGGTTAGAACCCGTGGACCCTGGTCAGGGCACATGCTAATTGCTTTATTTGACATCAAGAAATAATGTACTGCTGTTCCATGGCGCGGCGGCCATCGTGCAGGAACCCCGCGAGGAAACCCGAGACCCCTCGCGCCCTCTTCCACTCTCTCGCGCTTGTCCCTTCGTATAAATCTCCGCGGTTCGCCCACTTTGGCTCTGCCATCGTTAAACCTTCTTAGCTTCCAAATGTTAGTGTTATTGGGACCTTGTTCCATCCAGTAATTCACCTTTCTTTCTTCCTTTTGGCGACTTGTCGTTCCATCGAACAGGGAACGAGACGAACGAAATCGTAGTGTTCCGATCTTCATCTTTAGCGTTAAATTAACACATTGTTAACCGGTGACGAGTTAACTCGTCATTGCACTTGCATTATCTATTTCAATTTATGAAACCCAGGGCGATATAGAATATTGCGCGTGAAAGTGATTTTGAAGATTGGATTAGAAAATAATTGTAGTAGTGGTTGTCATAGAATGTGTGCTACAAGTGCGAGGAATGTTTGTGTAGAAGAATGTGTGTGTGACGAGTATGACAGAGTCGTGAAGAAATAATCAGTAGGTGAATGACAGTCATTACAAATAGACGTTGTGTGTGAGAGAGTCCTCGAGAGATTATATCACAGTTAGAAGCGAATTTATTTTACGAGATTTAGTTATAATTTATGTTGTGCTGTTTCTGTGTTAAATAAATCTTCTTATTAGTGTATCCATTTACTCACGATAATAACCCGTGACGCGGCATAGTTTCTGTGTAAAATTGCCGGTCAACAAATTGTTAAGCAAAGGGATTGACTATGAAAGGTATATTTAGTACCTACCTAGTTAAAGGTAGTATCCATTTATTAAACATCCTGTCCAAACGAATGTACCTTTCCCTAAACGATGGTTTTCAATATCCATACTCGAATTTCGGGAAATAAGGAATGGAGATGGGAATCTTCTTCATGATTCTTCTAACGTTTACCATAAATAAATTCCAGAGTGTTTGGAGATCGGACGCCATTCGGCGTGTCGAATTCGGGGTAGTAGATGGGACGCCTGGTGACCAGAAAAGGAAGGAAAGGCTCACCTACCGGACCTAATAACCCTTAGTCGAACCAATAACCGTTCCTCCGAGTTACATATGGAGGAATTTGTATTCGAAATCGGACGTATCCAGGGGATGATCGTAGCTTCCAACGCGGGGCACGCGTCTTTCTCGTAAATATGCCTCTCGGACCAGTCGAGTGGCGTTGCCAGTGCGCGATCCTACGCAGCGTTAGGGTCGCTTTCGAGGTCGCCAAGGGTGCATTTCATCTTCGAGAGCGTCAGCTCGGAGACCGATCGGTCGTACGCTCGATGTCGGATCATCCATCTTTTATCGAATCGAACCCGATGGTCAGGCTGACACTTTTCCGCCCAACTTTTGCTCCCGTCGAACTCTTCTCGCCACCAGCTGCGTTTCGTGGCTGCAATTTCATTCAAATGCTACGTGTC